AAGACTTTGTAGTTCTTTTCTGAGACTTTGCATTTTTTCATGCATTTCAAGTATATTCATAAGTTTATCAAAGCATTTTTATAAGAGCTGATTGAAAATCTTTGTCAGATAATTCTGACAAGTTGGTTTTTTCATCTATTTTTGCCTTTTCTCATTTCCCTGCATTTTGGAATAAGGAGTAATTTTAGATTAAAATCTGAATATTTTGGGTATTATAAGACTCTAGGTCTTAATTAAACCTTCAGTTTAGCTGGCTTCTTCCGATACCCCTCTAGCAGGAGGAGTAGGAGAATGCTGTCTCATTACCACCCCAGGCAGGGTAAAAGTCCATGTTCCCCGTCAACCTCCATGGATACCCAAGGAAAGGGGAGGGTGCTCATTACAGTTGGTGAGGATGGGAGTTCTTACTCCCCACCAGGCCTCTGCTTAGACTGCTCTGGCTGTGAGTGGGGGGAATGCCTTGTTACTGCTACCACTGCGTCTCCAAGACCCCACAGGGAAGTGGGTAGGGATGATCTTGTTATGCTGGACAGGGGTGAAAGTCCTTACTCTCCACTAGGCCTTCTCTGACACCACCCCAGTGGAAAGGGAGAAAGGTGCCTCCTCACTGCCAGGTCGGGGTGAAAGTCTCCCCGTGTCTTTTACTGCTTGGCAGGGATGAAAGTCTCTGCTCCCTGTTGACCTGTGACACCACCCCAACAGGGAGTTGGGGTGCCTCATGATAGCCTGGTGAAGGTGGGAGTATAGACTCCCAACCTGACCTTTGCTGACATGGGTGAGGGTGGGGCCACAATTTTTTTCTGTGGCGTTTGGAGTAAAGCAGATCTTGTCCACAAGTTTTCTTACTTGTTTTGCTGTCCATTTCCTGGTCCTCTGTGTTTGTTGGTGCTGTCTGGGTTGCCGGCTTCTCCACCTGCAAGTCTAAGATATTTGAGGTAAAAAAATGCAGGAAGCTCGCAGTCATGTCATTCCTCAGGTCCTGAGTACCCTACCTAGTCTGCCTTCTCTCTACCTGTCAGAGGCTTCTTATGTCTGTCTTACATATAATCCCCATGTTTTTAGTTGTACTTGGTGGGAGAAATAGGGAAAACTATGTTTACTGTTTTCCTGGAAACAGAGTTAGTTTTTCCATTTTAAAAATTATGAGGTACGGGGAGCCTGAGTGGCTCAGTCAGTTAAGCGTCCAACTTCAGCTCAGGCCATGATCTCACAGTCCATGAGTTCAAACCCTGCATCAGGCTCTGTGCTGACAGCTCAGAACCTGGAGCCTGCTTTGGATTCTGTGTCTCCCTCCCTCTCTGCCCTTCCCCTGCTCATGCTCTGTCTCTCTCTGTCTCAAAAATAAAGAAAAACATTAAAAAAAATTTTTTTTAATTACAAGGTGTATGTTTGCATTTTCCCAGTCTTCAAGTGTATCTGGCTTCCACTGGAAGTAGGAAAAGGAAAAGAGTTTATGGAGGATGGAAAACATCATTGTTATTTTATCAGAAATTTATTTTTAAAGGATTTTAGTCTTTATTTCATATTGTTTTGTATAGTTTGAATACATCTTTTTTTTTTTAAGTTTATTTCAAGAGAGACAGAGAGAGTGGACAGGGGAGGGGCAGAGAGAGAGGGAGAGAGAGAATCCCAAGCAGGCTCCACACTGTCAGTGCAGAGCCCTATGTGAGCCTGAAACTCATGAGATCATGACCTGAACTGAAACCAAGAGTCAGACATTTAACTGACTGAGCCACCGAGGCACCCCTTGTTTGAATATATTATCTTTAAAAAACTGCTGAGTTCAAAATAAAATATTTAATTCTTTTTTTAATACAGTACTAAAGGAATTTTAAAAGGGAAAAATAAAGACTCCCTGACATAATTTTTCCCCTGTTCCTTTCCAGTTTCTTCTGTATGTACATTTCCCATGGTATCATATATGTTTATACACATATACATACACATATAGTTTATTGTCCTACCATTTTACTTTAATTAACGTATTTTTCATGTTGACGAATAGTCTTTATACCACTTTCAAGTTGATTTATCTTTAATTCTCTCAGCCATTTCTGTGTCTCCATTTAATCACTGTTTTAAATAGCATGCTTATGAGTGTTATTATACATTCAGCTCTTTTCTTCTCATGAATTATTCTACTGCAGTAAATTCATTGGTATTCAATTATTCAGTCAAAGGGTCTGAACATTTTTATGGCTCTTGATCTGTACTGCCAAATTGCCTTCTTGAAGAATTTGAGCACCAACTATGATTTGTGAAGCATGCTATGCTAGGCTCCAAGATAGCTGAAACAAATTTAAAATGAAGGAGCAAAAATAAAATCAGCATGCTTGTGTTCATACTACTTTTCATCCACTCTATCTAACCACTGAAGGTGCATTCTCTCCCCTCAGCTTCTGTGTCTCACAGTCTCTTGGTTTCCCTCCTCCCTCCCTGGCTTCTCAGCTTCCTCTCCAGACTCTCATTCCCCTGCTTGTTCCTTCCCAGTCTTTAGGTTCCTATCTAGAATGGTCCTCCTCCTCTCACTTCCTGCCTTCTCCTTGGCTCATGTTATCCCATCCCAAGGTTTCTCACATTCTTCTGTATCTGTATCTTCATCAGAGGCATTTTTCCAATTTTTTTTAATGCTTGCTTATTTTTGAGAGACAGAGACAGAGACAGAGAGGGATCAGGGGAGGAGAAGAGAGAGAGGGGGACACAGAATCCAAAGCAGGCTCCAGGCTCTGAGCTGTCAGCACAGAGCCCAAAACGGGGCTCAAATTCATGAGCTGTGAGATCGTGACCTGAGCCAAAGATGGACACTTAACCGACTGAGCCACCCAGGCGCCCCCATCTTTCCAATTTAAATCCCCATTCCCCCTTCTTGGTCTACCATCCACTGGCCTCTCTGCTCCAGGCAGAAATCCAGGTGTCATCCTTTATTCCTTTTTCTCTCTCCCCTGCCACAGCCAGTTCATAACAAATTTTTATCAATATTGTGTTCTAAATATCTCTAGAATCCACCACTTGTTTCCATCCCCACCACCCTGTTCTAGTCCCTGTGGTTTATCACATGGATCCCTACAGTAATCTCTGGTTTCCCTGCCACGTGACATCCAAATGATCTTCCTAAAGGACGTTCTCTCTTTTGTCTCTGGGCCTTTACCCATTTTATTTTTTAAGACATCCTCGAGCGGGGCGCCTGGGTGGCGCAGTCGGTTTAGCGTCCGACTTCAGCCAGGTCACGATCTCGCGGTCCGTGAGTTCGAGCCCCGCATCAGGCTCTGGGCTGATGGCTCAGAGCCTGGAGCCTGTTTCCGATTCTGTGTCTCCCTCTCTCTCTGCTCCTCCCCCGTTCATGCTCTGTCTCTCTCTGTCCCAAAAATAAATAAACGTTGAAAAAAAAATTTAAAAAAATTAAAAAAAAAAAAGACATCCTCGAGCACCCTTTTTTTCCTCTCTGTTCTCATCTATACCAACACCTTCTCCCAACACACCTACATACACGCAAGTATGCACACACCTGTCCCTTTATGTTTTCCTAGTTTGTGCCTACTCATCCATCAGGACTCAGATGGCTTACTACTAGTTTAATCTACTCCCTTATTTACTTATCTTTTTTTACTCACTAAATTGTAAGCCCTTTAGGGCAGGGATATGTCCTAGTGCCTGCCAAAATGCCTGGTGCTTACTGAGTAATTTTAAAAAAAATCTTTTAGGGGTGCCTGGATGGCTCAGTTGGTTAAGCAACCAACTTCGGCTCAGGTCATATCTCACGGTTTGTGAGTTTGAGCCCCACGTGGGGCTCTCTGCTGTCAGCACAGAGCCTGCTTCAGATTCTCTGTCTTCCTCTCTCTCTGCCCCTCCCCTGTTTTCACTCTCTCTCTCTCTCTCTCAAAAATAAATAAAATAAACATTTTTTTAAAAACAAATTATAGGGGCGCCTGGGTGGCGCAGTCG